GCATTTACCAGTCAACTTTGATGTTTTGTTTAAGATACATTATTAAAACTACGAAACTGAAGTAGAAATTAAATTCTAGCTTTATACATTTAAACTACGTAGAATATTGCTTTCTGCTTTCCCATAAAGTATTTTAATTCAATCAAATTCTAAATCAAACAGTTAATTAATTCACTTTATCATGTGATAAACATATTAATAAGGTAGCAGATTTCCCTAGGGTATGTATAAAACTTATAGAGTATTGGCAAATTGCGCCGAATGACTGATAAGGATCGAATTAGTAATTATTTAGCTGCTAAATTAACGGGAAATTCACAGGCTTTAATTATCACATAGGATAAAATTCTGATGCACGATAACTATCTACGCATGCTTTATTACTGGAACTCACCAGGGCCCTTATAGGTGACCTTTAGCCAAATACGCTGGCTTCGTTCACGCACCATCCCAACCCACAGTGTGGAGCGGTCTACCTCCCCTTCTCTGGCGATGGTACGCCACTAAACCTCATATGACAGAGCCTAGATGTAAGACAGAAGCATACGTGACTGATGAATAAGTTAACAAATTCCTCAATGGCCTGGTGCTGAATGAACCTCACTTAAACCAAGGAGGTGTATAAGGATATGTATATCTCCTTGACTATGTATAAATAATATCTGCCCATTATAAGAAAATTCTTATAATAGGTCATGGTTTTGTCAGCTTACGGTCATCTTGGATAAAGGACAGTCCTACCTACAAGGACTTTCATGAAATGATATAAACCTTTTTACCGCACTGTGGTGGAGTGCATAAACAGACAGACTTGCGGTAAATTCATTCTTTATTTATATGGATAGACAAACCTCATTAACCAGTCAGCTTCAGGCAGACTGGGTTCTGTTTCCTTACTGTTATTCTTCTGATTCTTCTGGCATTATTTTAAAACACAACTAGTGCTAAACGGTTGGGCCGATTTTAAACTTGGACAGTACCAACAAGGTTGTTTATTGATATTAACGACTAATTACAAACCTGGTGTTGCTTATATTTTTTTACTATAAAAATTAGGTACTGTACTTTAAAAATAATTTTTAAAAAACATTTAAATGCTCCAATTATTCATTTTTACCAATTTATTTCTGAAGACATCCCATACAAAAATTTTCTATAGAATTCTATTTAAAAAATTCTATAGATTTTCTATATAGTATTCTATAGATTATCTATAGAAAATTTTATATAAATTCTATAGAATATTTCAAACAAATTCTATAGAAAATATA